GGTGATTGGCTGTTGTGCTGGCGTTCAGTAAACCTCTGCTCGATAGGCCATCGAGTTGTCTGTCTCAGCGCATTCTCTAAAACGGAGCAAATTTGGTTGATCGAGTTTTATAGTCTGTGTGTATCGTGATCGTCCTTATTTTTTATCGATAAAAAATCAAGATCGTTTTATCGCCCAGCACTAATAGCATAGTTATAATTCAATTAAATTAGGTATTTTACATTCATTAGAAAGCACGGTCTTGGAGGTGCAAGTCAATCTGGAGGCTTATTCTCTTCAATTCAAAGCAGAGGGTCATTACAGTACATAGCTGTATTCATAGCTTACCCGAGGCCTCTCTCCCTGGTATAAGAGACTTAATATGAACATCTTTCTGGTACATCCCATTTCTTTCCCTTGACGAGGTCTGATAAAATGGTTATAGGAGAGGATTGCTGCAAATAATATTTTCCATCAGGCCTCATAACTATGACAAATCTGGGAGATTTTAAATGAGAGACATATGGACATATGGACAATATAATTGAAAAGATAACATGAATTTGATTTAACGAGTAATGACACTTTACAGCAATGCCTTTTTTCTCTACAGTTGATCTGAGTAATGTGATGTCGATTCTAGCCCAAGTCGGTTTTTGGTCTTGGTCTTGGTCTCACCTTAGTGTGTCTTGGTCTTGGTCTTGGTCTTGGTACCCTCAAGTCTCGGCAGTGTCTTGGTCTTGATACCCTCCGGTCTCGGCAATGTCTTGGTCTCGGTTTAGGCGGTCTTGACTACAACACTAGCGGAGTGTCAGTGACTTTTATACACTAAGTGCTCAGCACTCGGCGACCCGCTCTGTTGCTTTACGTGACTTTTACACACTATGTGCTCAGCACTCGGCGACCCGCTCTGTTGCCTTACGTGACTTTTACACACTAAGTGCTCAGCACTCGGCGACCCGCTCAGTTACTGTTCCTGAATGCGTCCACTTTGCAATAAGACCATGTGGAATATCTATCATGCAATATCTTGTGGGGAAGAAATTTCACAAATTGTCATCGCAAAGGTGCCATTCTATGATATTGCCACACTCGAATTCACTGAGCTCTTCAGAACAACCCATTCTTTCACAAATGTTTGTAGGTGTTTCATTTTTTAATGAGTCTGAACGAAACACCTGAATTCAATGATTGAGAGGTGTGTCCCAATACTTTTGCCCATATAAAAAGTGTATGTGTGTAATCCAAAGATAAATCATTAGCACAAATAAATCAATATATGAAATGACAACTTGCCAGTGGAAGTTTTTAGTCTCTTAATACTGTTTTTACATTTAGAGTATGCCTGTTTTTCAAAAACATGCCTTGCATTAGTTATTTTCTCAATGGCATGCTAAGATATTCTTCTTTTGTGTTACACAGCGTTTCTGAAGTGAAACAGGAATTTCAGAGTCAGTTGCACATATTAGAAATATCATAACTCAACTGTATTGGGAAAATGTAGCTTTGTATTTCTATTGACTGGGAAAACTGCACCAGACAGCTGGTTAATGTTGCCAGGCTTTGAGTGTGGATGTTAAGCCCAGACGGCAGGTGTAAATACATGATAACAGCCAGCATTAGAAAGCTGCTCTGATTATTTAATATTAAAAATCTATTAAAAATCCCATTTTACACTGTTTTATTTTGTGTCTCACTTTTCAGCAAGTTTTAACTGAAAAGCTGCATTTTATGATCATTCTGGTAGCATATAATACAACCTTTTGAGATGGGGGGGCCAACAGAAAGGACGACGGCTACTCAGATATTATTGCTCAATGGAAATATTTTATTTTTCCAAATAATTGCTAAATATGTATGATTGCATGTACAAATATTTGAATTCTGGCACAAATATATCTTGCATGCAGACCTTTATGCACAGTCTATGAGTGAAATGATTTTATGTTTTTTTTTTTGTGATAACCCTGAAACAAATAATTGCTTAAAGGGTTAAGCTCCAAAAATAAACAATAAAACACAAAACATTAAGACATATTTCAGGATGTACTTTTACTGATTATACGAAAAATAGTGCATTGTTTTGATTTATATGTATATTGTCGGCAGAGCTGAAAATGGAGCACTGAGGATCTTCACAAGCATGCAACTTCTGTCCCTTTTTACGTTTTGTTTTTGTTCCTTTGTTTTTTTCCAGCTGAAATACATCTGCTGTATTCTGTGTTTGTGTCCTTTTCACAATGTCAAGGTCATTTCTGATATCATCTTCGGTCATTTATTAAGCGCGTAAACTGTTCTTTGTTTGAATGCATAAAACGCTCAGCTTTTCAGCCTCAGGAAAGTGGTTGGTATCACATTGGTGGAGATTCTGATGAATGATCTGTCCATCTCTGTCAGCAGACAGTCAGCAGTTGGTAGTCACAGCGACAGACCCATTTTCTGCAACTTTCTCGTCCACGGACTGTATGATACAGGAAGTGATGTCGAAACCCTTGCGTTCACTCGATGACTCCCCAGGCGCCTCTTCCGGGCTGCGCTTTGCACTTGTGTTTTCATGTCTCGTCTCTGACTCCAGCTCTGTGCACAGTGTTTCCTCCTCCTGTAGGTGCAGGAATTCAGAGACAACCAGTGCTGGTGATGAACAGCAGTATGAGGGAACTGATGCATAATAATATTCATCTCAAAGAGAAAAGACAGTATTGATTTGACATGCAAATAAGGCATATAATACATGCATTTGTTGATATGCAAGCATGCGTTTCCCTCATGACATAGTGTGTATCTGTTTCTCTGATTCTGCCCTATAACTTCTCTCACAAACAACTCCATTTTGTTTTTTCCAGCATGTTGTGATTAAAAACATGCCCGACCTTGGTGTCGTCTTCTTCCTGTTGTTCCAGTAGGTATTCGCTTTCTGAGCCCGGTTCCTCTCCGCCTATAGCAGCAACAGCGCCATCCACTGTAGACATGCTCACATTTTCGCACTGATTGGCCCTCGTATCTGCCACTCCCCACAAATTAACCAGTGGGGGCAGAGTAGGCGGAGGCAAGCTGTGGATTGTGCTGTTGGGCGTGGCTTGCAGGGAATGGCAGGGACTGTGAATTCTGTGCTCCATGGACTAAACAAAACAAATGCAAATACAACATTCATTATATAATTTCATATTAAATGAGAGTTGAAGCTGAACTTGTTTTAAGCAAAGCAAATGATGCATTATATACAGTGGTGCATCGATATTTTATCTGTAATCAGAAATACATAAAGGCACAGAAGGAACTACTTTGGCGTAGTGTTTAACCAGAGTTTCCTCTTTAAACGGGCACTTGTATAAGCTGGCAAAGCCATACGGTTATGCAGGCCAAACAAGTAAATAAAGCGGAAGGAAATAAAGCGGATTTGTTCTCCACCTGCTGATGGTACTGCAGGAGCTGCTGGTACTGCTGGATCTGCTGCAGCTGCTGTAACTGATTTTGTTGTGCCTTGAGCTGCTGTTGTAAGGGGGTCGAGCTTCCGTCGTAACCCTCGTACGAGGCCCCGTCAGCCACGACGTGAGAGCCGGCAGCCGGCGAGCCCACGCCAGAAGGGTTGCTGCTCACCGGCTCCCAGCCATCCAAGGAGGAGAGGCAGTAGAGGCCTTGGGAGACATAGGTATGGGGCCACACCTCGGCTGAGGAGCCATGTAGCATCTGGTCTGGGGGAAGCGGGGAAGAGCACACATTACCACACGCTAACACAGGCTAGCACACACTAGCACACGCTAACACATGCTAGCACACATTACCACACGCTAACACATGCTAGCACACATTAGTACACGCTAACACATGCTAGCACACATTAGCACACTCTAGCACATGCTAGCACAGGCTAGCACACACTAGCACACAGTAGTGCTAGCAGCTATTAGCACACAAATCCACCGTTTCATGTGCAAAATGTTGTGCATAAGGCAGTTCAGCATATTGTACATATCCCCCCTGCAGATTTATGTACGACTTGTGCCAGCAACAAATATG